TGCACATCCTGTTTTAACCCTTTTAATGAAATAAGGCTGTATTGCTGTGGGGAGCATAAATATGGTTTCTGAAGGCCTTTCCTATTGCACAGTCTCTTCAATTCACCCCCTTTCTCCGCTGTCCGATCCTTTAGCGCGTGGCCCTTTGTGACGTTCGTAGGCAACTCTCCTTCTGCGAAAAGCTTCAATTGCCGATAGTCGGCCTTGTAGAGAACATGAGTGGTGTAGAATGCCCCAACTGCAACGAAGTCGTCAACCTCTTCTCTTCCGGCGGTGGCGAAGCCTTGGCTGCTGCGAAGGGCGTCAATTTTCTCGGTATGTTTTCTGTTGTTCCGATACACTAACTTTTAATAGGTGCTTTTGGCAGATTTGTATAATTAATTTGACTTGATTGTGAATACCTCGATGGCCTCAGTGATATTCAATCAGGAAGAGCAAATCTTGATTAAAGCCCACGGTTTAACCGCCTGAGATACAAGGCCTCATCCGGCTCTTCAGTCCGCCGCATGCTCATTTTTGTCTATGAGGTGCCTCTCGACACTGTTGGCCGTTGGTAAGTCCAACCCAAGCACGAGCCCTAGCTGTCCGATCACCTGTGACGTCTAAGTAGTATTTCTGCTTAGAGCACTACAATCATCAGGCTGAATCCCAGTTTTTAAGAGAAGGTATAAGTGACACCAGAATGAGGACTGCGTCCAGTCAGGCTTGAGAAAGATTGAATCAGTGTGGTGACAGCTGCTTTTGCATGATTGTAAAGCAAGTTCAAGTGGTGTCCAGTTGGTGTGTTTTGCATTATTCGAGCAGGGTGTCGTGTATAGTGGCCCATGCTGCGTCGGCCGACGGGTGGCGTGTTCAGGAGGCGGTCGGGCAGTCGAGACTGTGTGTGTCCGAGTGAAATTCGGCCAAGTAACTGCAGGTAAACGCTCGCTGCGAATGTGAGGCCACTCGCCTCGAAAAAGGACGCCAACCACAGCAATGCTGAGTGTCTGCTACGTACCCAAAAAAAAAACCAGAATAAACCATTTCAAGGAAAAGCGTCCTTTGGGAAAATGAGTAAATTTATTCAGTAAATTTTCGACAGACTTGAGAAAAATGCGTAAAGGACAGTTAGCATTTCAAATTGCTGATACAGTTGTATAGTCATCTGGTGTGGGAGCAAACTCTGACAATACGTGTTTTGTCCCATGCAAAGGTATGTCCTGTGTCAAGGCAATGCATAGCCA